GAATTTGAAATACCTGGATTTGGCCTAATCCAATATGATCCATGAATACTTTAATTAGAATGGAATTGAAATGCATCATTTAGCTCTTATATTAAATTAATATTAAACAAAATTCTCCTATAAATCTTTTAATATTTTCAAGAAATAATTTAATTAGACATATCTTAAACAACAATTAGTATACTTTCAAAGATAAAAAAAAAAAAAAAACCGATTTTCTTTTATTATTATTATTATTATTATTTAATGATATGAATTACTCATTGCAAGCCATTTGAATTGAATTCTCATTTCTTTTTATTATTAAATTAGAGAAAAAAGGTTATTTCTTTTATCTTATGTAAGTATTAAAAAACTCATTCAACACTTAAAGATTTTTCTCCTAAGTGAAAAAACTATGGGTTAATAACACTAGTAGTTTTTAAATTTTAACTCAAATTTTATTTTAGTTTTTAAATTTTTAAATTTTAATCGAAACCTTAATTATCTAAAATTGTCATATTTTAATCTTTTTATCTATAGAGCTATCTAAATTGATGATGAATACTAATTAATATCACATGATAATATCAGTTGATATCTCGCGTGATGAAGAAGATACCAAACTAAAATTCTCTCAAAATTTAAGGATTAAAAACAAAATTATTTCAAAATTTTATATATTTCATATATATTATAAAACATTGAATTTAAATTATATTTTTATATTTTTTGTTGTAATATAATTTGTTAGTTATTTTTTTGTTTTTTTTAAATATATTTTAAAAAATTAAAATTAAATTTAAAATTAAATTTTTTTTAATTCGATATCATTTAAAAAAATTATTTTCTATTAAAAATATTATTTTTTATCCAAAAATATATATTTTTCAAATATTATATATCCTTTATTTCCTTTTTCAAATATATTTTATAAAAAATAAAAAGGAAAGAATAAAATAATTAAAGAAAAAATTGATTTTTATATATTTCAAATATATTTTATAAATATTATAATTTAAAATAAATTTTAATTTTTATTATGATATTATTCATCAATAAAATAGTATTTTTAGTAGAAAATATATTTTAAAAAAATTAACTTAAAATTTTTAAAATAATTTTTTAAAATTACATTTCATTTTTTAAAAAATTAAGTACAAATTTTTATATCGATTTAAGAAATTAAATAAAAACTCTATATTGTTTTAAAATATTATGTAAAAATTTTCATATCATTTTAAAAAATAGGTTTATTAATCTTTTTAAAAATTTATTTTCTATCCAAAATATCTAATTTGAATTTTTTTTTGGTTAAAAACTTTATATTCGTACAAATCAAATATAATTTAAATGCAAAAAAATTATACAAAAAAAAATACACAAATATCCCTTCCATTATAATCAAATTAATAAAAAAATCAAACAGTTGTTATATATATAAATTTATTAAAATAAATATTTATCATTTTATTATTACATATAAAATTACTTTTTTATATGGAAAAACCTATCTTACTTTAATAATAATAACAAATACTAATAATAAACCTATCTTACTTTAAAAGTAACTAGTGCTGGCCCGGTTTCGCCTAGTATGTTAATTTAGTTTTTAATATTTTATTTCATTAATATTTGATTAAATTAGAATTTAAAATAATTTAATATAAAGTTAGTTTTATTAAGTATCAAAAGGTTTGTTAAAGTAATTGGTAACAGAAAGTTAATATAAAACTAAGTAGAAAATATTAGGTGTGCATTTTGATATTACAAAATTCCTAAAAAAATGTGTTATTTTATTTTTTCTTTTTTTAATAAAATTTTTTTATTGAATATTTTATATAATTTTATAATCTTTTGAAAAAAATATTATTTTTTATAAAAAAACATTGTTATAATAATTTGGAGATTATTTTTAAACTTTTATGTTATTTTTGTGTAGTAATAAAATATTTTATTCAATAAATTATTAAAACTTATTTGGAAAAAAGTAAAATTTTATTCATTTATTATAAAATGAATATATTGTTGATAAAAGAAATTGTAATTATAATATCAATAGTTGCTAATGAGACAAATAATGAAAAATAATCCCATAACTAAACTTCAGCTAAAATAAAGAATAGAGGAAAAAAAAAGGAATAGGTGGTAGAAAATTTGATGAAAGAGATGTTTGTATGAGTCTTGTTTCTAAGCAAAATTGGATTCAACTTAAAACCATAAATACATGAATATCCATACCAGAGCATTATTTGCAAGCACAATTTTCACAACTCTCTTTTGCTTTTTTCAGCCGTGTTTTCTTTTTTGTTATTAAATCAATGCTTCATTCAATGCACAGTAACTAAAAGCTATAAGAGACAAATGAGTGTAATTGATCTTTATGGTGTATATATACTTAAAAAAACCCTGAGACAAAAAAATAATAAAAAATTAATAAAATCAAAATGACAACTTCATTAAAACAAACATACAAAATAAAAATACCCGTAAAAAAGAACAAATTATGACCTATAAAACTATGTTTCTATAAACAACAATTCGATTTTCATCCAATATTAAAACATGCAAAGGGAAATTATTAAAAAAAAAACTCATTCACATTAACATGCAAATATGGGAACTACAAAACCCAAATCTCAATAGCAAAATCATCCCAAGAAAACTAAAAAAAAAAAAAACTAAATATGCATTCAATTAAACAATAAAAATAGCCATAGATTTTACCCAAAAATAACGAAAAAAAAAAAAGATGAAAGAGCATGAGAAGTCTCTCATTCACATAAAAAACTCTACTATTTGAAGTAGTAATAAAAACCTAAAAAAAAAAAACTTTTGAAATTATAGTTAAAACACATGTGTCAAAAATAAAACAACAAAAGAAGACACAAATTGTGTATTGCAAAACTATATTTTTATAAACAACAATGTTATTTTTATCCAACATCACAACATACAAAAAGAAATTAAAAAAAAAAAAAAACACATTCACAATAACATGCAAACCTCAGAACTACAAAACCTAAACCTCATTTAACAATCTAACTCCATTAAACAAAATAAAAATGTATAACAAAAAAAATCATCCTAAGAAAATCCCTAAAAAACAAAATTCACATTCAATTAAATAATGAAAAATAGTTACAAATTTTACCTAAAAATAGCTAAAAAAAAGGAAAGAACTTGATAAGCTTCTCTTTTAGGCTAAAAGCTCCACTCTCTAAAGCAACAATAAAAACCAAAAAAGAAGCTTCAAAATTGTAGTTAAAACATAGATGTCAAAGATAAAACAACATAAAAAAACACTTGTATCTTTAGAAAAAATTTTCTGACCTGTAAAACCCCAACTTGATCTTAATGAAATAACAAAAAAACTGTAAAAGAATAAAAAAAAAATTCACGTGGCACTCAGAAACGGATTCATGATTTATGTTTAGTGAGGGCAACTAATATAGATAATATTACATATAAAAATATAAATTAACTCAAATACATAAAAAAATTATTTTTATTATACACAAAAATAAAAACATTATAATTATTTTTTATGGGTTTCTTATTGAGAAAATAAAATTGTTCAAACATTATCTTTTTCATTAGGAAGATAGTTTAAAATATTTTTTCATAACTTTGGATTCAATGAAAATCATTTAGATATAATTAAACATGAACTTGTTTGTAAAATGTTATGTGTCACTATTATTGATTTCAGATGATTCCTTCAAAATTGACTTTCTTTTAATAAGATATTTATCCAAATCTAATTAAATTATATAATTTAGTTTATATAATTTCTAAGAAATAAGAAGATAATGTTGTAGCTTGCATTAGATATTGAAATGTAATTATGCAAACAAAATCAACATACATATTTTATTATGCATTTTGAATTTTAATTAAATAATATAATTATATATATAAAATAATTTCATAAAAATTAAATTATTTCATTGATCAACTTAAGAAAATACAATATTCTTCGATCTTAATCCACTTATAATATAAATATAAATATAAATATAAATAAATCATAAATTAAGCACCAAATCAAATTATTTTACTAATATAAAAAAATTTATATGGTAAACAACTATTCTATCACATAAACAAATGATAATAAATACAAAGAAAAAATCCAAAAATAAAGTAATTACTTAAATATATTGATGGAAGAAAAAAAAATGTTTACTCCTTAATTTGTTTCTTTGGTTTATTGGATAATTTTTTTGTCTTCTTGTTATTTCTCTACTTCTATTCTCTATTTACTGTAATTTTTATAGGTTTGGACTAAGGAAAAAATTATAAATGAAGTAGAAAGAAGATCACTTTTTATTTTACTTTTATTGTTTTTTAAATGAAATGTTGATCTTTGAATAAAAATTTATTTATAAATGTTTATTTTATTTGTATTTATACAAATGACCTTATTTTTTTTGTAAAACAAATTATTTATATTGCAATTATAATTTTGTTCTTTCAAACATTTATAAGAATATCATATATATATTTTATTTTTTTATTTTTGGTGGAGGTAAATTATAAAAAAAATAAAAATTTTAAGAACTTTTGTAATAACTTTTAAGGATATTAGGACCTCAGTGGCAGCTGTCCTCCACTTTCCCCGTTAAAGATCCGCCCTTGGGGGCACTCTCAGATCTGTTGGAAATACATTTTATATAAGGGTGTGTTGATATTATTAGTTTTTTTATTATTAATAATCTTTATCACGGTGACAAAATCATCCCTCCGTGGCAAAACCGTTATTCTATTTAAATGAAGGAGAAAACAGGAATGGCAAAATTATCTTGCCACCCAATTGGAGTCGCCCACGTCACCTCCTCAGTAAAAAATGTTCGGTTGCGGAAACTCAATAATAATAATAATAATAATAATAATAATAAAGGTAATACAAAAAGTCAGCAAAGAATGTTCGTTTGCAGGGAAACCTAATAATAATAATAATAATAATAATAAAAGTAATATAAAAAGTTATTTAAAAATTATCAAATTGAAGACGCAAAAAAAAAGAAAAAGGAAAGCAAAAAAAAAAAAAAAATCTCTCTTCACTCTCTCTTGGTCTTCTCACTTGGGGCTTTTGCTTTTCTGTGGCTCAATCCTGGGCGATCTGGTCCATAAATTCTAGGGTTAGGGTTTTGATCTCTTTTCTTGATATTTTGTTTCTGATTTCTTCAATTTTTGGTGTAACTGTTATGGGTTTATTTGGTTTTAGTTGATTTTTAAAATTTTTTGGGTTGATATTATTTGACCTCTTAAAACAGGGGCTCATCGGATGCGTTTTTGAGTCTCTGAGATCGGCTTTAGGACTCATTTCACTAACTTCTCCAGCTAACAGGTTACCCTTTTTCCCATCTTTTTTTTTTCTTTTTTTTGATAGCTAGGTTGAATTATTGTTATTATTAAAGTTTGGTGTGATGGTGCATGTTAATGATATATTACTTTATTATTATTATTATTATTATTATTATTATTATTATTATTATTATTATATGTTTTTAACTCTTTAATTTGATGATTATGATTAAGGAAAAATAAATAAATTTATGGGTATAATTATGTTGTTTTGACATTCTTTTAATTTTGTTTGTTCACTTGGTATGTATATGTGTTTTGATGGTTTTTCTTGCTTTTGATGTTAGAGTCAAAGGGAAAAAGAAATAAACATAAGAGATTTTTTTAAAGAGAATTAGTTAAAAACGATGTGAGATTTTTACTTATCAATGAAAAACAATACTCTCTGAAAGAAGCGGTATGCTTTGGCAGGAGGTTTTCCTACTCAGTGTTGATGAATTATGAGCAGATTGGCAATTTAGAGAGCAGCATTAAACATTGTTATTCAAGCTAGCCAAAATTTAGGAGAGAATCGCATCTTGTTTTTAATATGTTACCAATTGATTGTTTATGCGTCTATTCTTAGCTTTCAGTGTTAACCTCTGTTTACTTTCAAGTTGATAGCTTTTTGATCAGCTAATCAAATGGATGATTCGTTTTCTTTTGTTACTTCGTCAAGAGGCATGGAACTGCCACTACTAGCACCAATAAATTCGTTTTCCTTAGCATGTAATTTGCTTTGGACGTGCCATTTATACGCATTACCATATGGGGTAGATTGTAAATAAGATGTTTTGGCATTCATTTCCTTATATATATAAATATATATTGTTTTTTTTTTTTTTTTTTCTGAAAATAGGAAGTCTTGTTTAATCGTTGTATTAGAGAATTTCAATAATTCAATTTAGAGTTTACGTACTTTCATGTTAATATTTTCAATTGCATCTTAACCAAACATCTTTGTCACTAGTTTCCAAGTGGTTGACTAGGTAGCATGTTAATTTTGCAATTTAATTAAGCATGGGTTATTAATATCTTGCAGTGCTTTTCTGTGGAATGAATTTTTAATTTGTAAGGGAAATTTCCTGCTGCCCCAGGTTAAGATAGTATTTGCTTTTCAAGGATATCTTTTAGATCATAAATATGCAGACACACTTACAGATATATACATTAGTGGATAGTGCTTATATCTTGTAGAGTTCTGCTTTCTTTGCTTGATTGTGACTAGAAAAGAAGAAAAGAAATGGTTGCTATCAGTATTATACAGGTTCTTTTCAATTTACTGGTGACATAATGTATTAGTCAACTAGCGTTAAGTGTGAATTGTCTATGGGTCTTAGCATTTGTCAATCTTACCTGTTAGATTCTCATATTTAAATGTATTTGGTGCAGGAGAGGTGAAGAAATGGACCATGAGAAGACAGGATGCCAAGCTCCTCCTGAACGTCCTATTTTGTGCATTAATAATTGTGGTTTCTATGGAAGTGCAGCTACGATGAACATGTGCTCCAAGTGCCACAAGGATATGATATTGAAACAGGGGCATGCTAAACTTGCTGTGTCATCTATCGATAATATTATGAATGGGTCATCAACTAGCAATGGGAATGAAACCGTTGTTGCTAATGTTGTAGATGTGCAAAATTCTGTGGAGCCAAAAACCATTCAACCATCCCGTGCTTCTGGCTCAGCGGAGAGCCTGCAGGCTAGGCCGAAGGAGGGTGCAAACCGGTGCAGCAGTTGCAAAAAGATGGTTGGTTTAACAGGGTTCAAATGTCGCTGTGGTAACCTTTTCTGTACATCACACCGCTACTCAGACAAACATGACTGCCCCTTCGATTATCGCACTGCTGCACGTGACGCAATAGCTAAAGCCAATCCAGTTGTCAAGGCTGAGAAACTTGATAAATTCTAAGTACAATGGAGACGAAGTTACATGTGCTTAAGCATGTCTCGCTCATTTTTCTCCCGAGGCACTCCTGAGTTGGCCGCTAATCTTTTCAGGTGTCCTTATTTATGTCATATATGCTGGGAGATGGCTATCTAGGACATCTATGCACTATGAAGAACTCTATATCTTGTGATTGGCGAAAATTTGTATGTTGCCATCAGTATTTGTCTTAATCTGTGGTGGTTTGATGGACTTCATTTGTATGTCACGCTCTGTTTCATCTGGCATGTCGCCCTAGTTCTGCCTTTTAAAATTGAATGTGCAATTTCAAGATGATATGTTCTCAGGGGTGGCTGTGTAAATTTTCAATTATGCTATTCCTTGCATTATCCTTCTACAAGCGAACGTGGTTCCCAGAATAGATAATGAGACATGGAATACGTAAAACTTTGCACCTTGGTAGTTTTGCGTCTTACAATTTTTTTGTTATTCCCTACTCTTTTAAGTGTGGAAAGTCAGAATTATGGAGCCATCCAGCTAAATTCAGCTTCAAGATACTTACAGATCCTCTCCATAACCTCTCTGCCCTTAACACTATTTTGCATAAACCTCTCAGCACATCGTTGCTCAACTTTTTCCGCCATGGATGCCAGGGCTGATAATGGCTTAATACGAATACTAGTTTCCTGTTCACAAATCGTCCAGCCTGTTAGATTATCTGGGTGAGGATCATACCGTATCTTCTCCTCTACCTCTATAAACTTCTGAAGACTGACATTACGGGTTGTAAGTTGCATTGATTTAGATTGGGCATCAACAACTGTCGATTCAACATAGTTGCTGATATCTTGGCCAATGATTTCTTTAATAAACCATGGCCCAGAAGCATGGCAGGTAAGAGCGAGAGTAGCGTAAATGTAAAGCTTACCAGAGAGAGGTTCAAGTTTATGATTCAATGTGTCAACTTCAAGAATATGAGACAAGGTACGTTTATTCTCAGGGTCAGCAAACTTGCGCCAAGATGCAGAAGTTACTCGCTCCCATGGATGCTTGTAAACGTGCTCTTGAGCATATGCTTTCACCATCACAATCTTTCTAATGCTGTTCAAAGATAAAGAACAAAAAAACAGTCCACCAAAAGAATGTGCATTCATTATTATGCAGGCAGCTCGAATGAAAGCAAATGCTCACTAAATATTCAGAAATTCAGGTAGATTTAAGATCTGGGTTTTGCTTAAAACTTTTTCAAGCAAAAAATTGTAACTAATCATCATAAAAGTGTAACTCAGTCTACTTCTCAAATCCGATATCCAATCAGGTGTAATTTGGATAAATAAACACTTATTATTGATGACGGCTTCAATATCATCCAAATCAAGTATAAAATTCATTTGAAACGCATTCATGTCTACGCTTTAATTAAATCAAGAATTATAACATCAAATAATCATGCAGTAACTTGCAAGACATTTTGGGAGGCAGGGAGTATTCACTTTTGTGGGTTGCGACTCGTGAGGAAATCAAACAAGCACACGAGATATAAACGAAAGTATCTTTTTTCATGAAGCAGGTAGAAGAGAATAAAGTTCCAGCAGTTAGCACCTAATAACCGAAAGCATCAAGAAATTCAAAAGACAATTCAGCAGCTTTTTCTTCAACTTTCATAGGGACTAAAACAAAACAAAGATAAAAAGAAACTAAGCCATCAATTTAGCCCAAAATTAGAAAAAGAGACATGAAACTAAATAAGCATTCAAAACTCACAAAAAAACCCAGAAATTAATTACTAACATAAATCATCCAAAACCCAGAATGGGATTTAAAAAAGCTTAACAACCCATCAATCAATTGGATCCCAAAAGCAGAAAAATGCCAAAGCACACGCTCCAATCCATCTTAAAAAGGGAAAAAAAAACCAAGATATAATTTCTCCTATACATAAAAGAGCTTCCAGCCATTAGTTAGAGTTAAATAAATATGATCATATTGAAACAACCAAAGAAATTGTATAAAGACCTAAAAGAAAAAAGGATTAGAAACAGTAATGAAGAAGAAAATTGAGAGAACAAAACGCACCGTACAGAAAAGCTGCGGTATAGTGAAACCCCACAAAAGATCTTTAGAAATGTTTGTAACATAAAAACAGAGAGAAGCTATGTTTGATACTGATGGTTGGACGGCAGTACCAAGAGCTTTGACGGAGTGGTTTTGCGGAGTATGACCGCCTTCATTCTTTTCCGATCCAAAATTTCTGTTCTATTTGTGGAAATTTTTTCTTTGTTTTTTTCTTTATAGAGTATTTTATACTCTTGGGGCAAAAGTTAAAAAATAATAATAATAATAAGGCACAGCAACTTTGTAGAGTAAAATGAAAAAAAAAAAAAATGATATGGTTAAGATTTGCCCTTTGATCATTGAATTTAATAATTTAATATTTTATCAATAAATTATATTAAAAAATTTAACTATTACTAACTAAAATCCCTGTCTATATCTATTAATCTATAAATTCATACATACATTATATAAAAGTTACTTCTTTGGATAATTGGCTATCACGTGGCAATCAATTACCATTTTTTATGACCAATGATCATAAAATCTAAATGTTAATTTTAGTGAGATTCATTTAATATAAAATTTTTATTAAAATTTTTAATTAAAGCTATAGTAACTTATTTTTAATTATAATTATAATAACTTTTATTATTATTTTTAATTTCAACAGAACTAATTTCATCATCTATCTAAATAAACTTTTAAACAATTATTAATTTTTATTTCTTACAATTAAAATATTAAAAAATTGTTGCCATGTAATAGTTCTTAGATTTACATGATTTTTTATTTTTAATTTAAAAATTATTATTTTTATTATTTCTTCATATTAATATGAAAAAATATATAAAGCGTGAAGAGAGAGAAAATGAAAATTTCAAATAAGAAAGTTTGTCAAGAATTGAATCAAATATTCATAATTTTCTTCCTTTTAAATATTATTATTATTATCGTTAAAAGAAAAGCAAAAGTAAACAAAAAGATAGATAATATGAGTAATGGGAAATGAAAAAAGATAAAAATTCAAAAAATGCAATGAATTAAATCAAAAGTTCATAAAATTTTCAAAAATTATAACACAATCACACATAAGTGTTATAACATTTTGGAACCACTAGATATAAATTTTTAAATTTGAAAAAAATAGGGGGAGTCGCTACAATTTTTTTATATAGTAAATAGCCACCAAAAAATTTATCTTTTTGATAAAGTAATAAAATGAATTTAAAATTTATCAAAAAATCAATTTTGGCATATAAAAACATAATTGGATTTGAGAATCAATTATGCGTGAAAAAATATTAACACTCCCACAGCGTCTATGAAAATTAGTATTAATTAATCATGTGTTATCTTCAGTGTTAGATAAAATGGTTTTGATTTAAAATTCAATAACAATTCCCTTCACTTTTTGAAGAAGAAAATCAATTTTATTAAAAGTTTTTGTTTAGGAATATTGTAAAAATCTTTAAATGAAAGAATTACCTTAAAATTCTTCAACATCTAGATAGAACTTTTAAAAATAACTCTTTTCACCTAAGATTCACCACAATATTTCTTGAAAATGAAAATAATATTCTTTATAGATAATAATTGTTGGTAACTCTCCAATATCTAGATAGAGTACAAAGAATTATTTCTCTTAGAATATTCTTTTTGTTTTACTTTATAATTCCACATTTTTAAATAGCATACATTTTTTAAAACATTTTATGTGAAAAAGCTAATGATTGTACTATCAACTAGCAAACAATAATTAAAGGCATAAACATGCAAAACAAGTGTAAATAATAATAAATAGGTGCATGTATGCCAACGGATGCTATGCATGAAGATGAAATACAATTTGACATCGAGTCATTAGATATAAGGAAACCACCCTGATTCCCTAAAATTTAAGCAAAGTTTAGGTGTGACTATTTATATTTGAGATCCCATTTTTAGTGATTTTTTTTTTTACTTTTTGTTTAATCTTATTATTATTTTGGTTAAGGAATTGTACGAAAAAAAAAAACTTGATGAAATAAAATTTTCTAAATATTTCATCTTTTAGACGGTATTTAAGAATATATTATTTCATATAAGTTTTTCATATGTACTTTTAGAATTTTAGGATGGTTTTTGGTTTGGGCAACTTAGGGTTTTGGCTAGTTTTCAAAGCTTAGGATTTCATTTTAGGGTTTAGAAAATTTGGGTGTGAGTTGGTTTTAGGGTGTGGCTAGCTTTTAGAGTTTAAAGTTTCATTTTAGGGTTTAGGATTTTTTAGAGTTTCAGGATTTTAGGGTTTTGAGATTTTAAGATTTTTAGGGTTTTAAGGTTTTAAGGTTTAGGGGTTTGAAGTTTTTTAAAAACCTCTCTAAAAGTTTCCAACATTTGGGCAAACTTTTGAAGCAAACTCAATTTTCATAATTATTTCTAAAAGTTAGATTTTTATTAATCTTTTGGAAAGACATTTAAAAAATTGCAAATACCAAATATGAATGCATGAATATAATTTAAGATGACATATAAATGATAATTTATAATGCTAGTGCATGTAACAAGTTATTAAACAAGTAAAAAGCAAACATAAATAATGATAAAAGAAATTATTATCATTATTATTATTTATTATTTATTTTGTGAAGAAAAACTTTTCTTATTCCCCAACATCTAAGCGGAATTCGAGAAAATTACCTTCGAAATCTGATTCGAATTTCCTTCAACATCTAGGTAGGGTTTTAAAATCTTTTTTTCTTTTTCAAAAAAACATTTTAGTTTTTAAAAACCTATTTCTAAAAAAGAAATCTTTGAACCCAAAATTATCCCTTTTTCATAATAATAATAATAATAATAATATCATAATACAAGACACCCATAATATCATTTTCATAATTACCATTTTTCATGGTTATGCATGTAAAAGAGAAATATATATACATAGACATATTACAAAATGATCAAGGCCAAGAAGTTATACCTAACAAGATTTTGTTGTTGAAACCTAAAATTCATAATCAACTAAGCTCAATGAATTAAGTTGCTAGGCTAGAGCCATATGGTCTGGGTTGGATCCACTAAAATCAGGTCAGGCCATCAAGCTAAGCTCGTCTTTAGGTTAGAAGGTTGTATGTGGGTTGGGTCAGGTTGACTCATTTGACCATTCTTTTTTTTTATATGCTATAAATTCTTAATTTTTTTAAATTCAATTCCTTGTTTCTTTTAAATAAAAAAAAAATTTCTCTTATTCTCCTTATAGACCAAACCTGCCCTATAAAAAAGAGCAGCTCGAATTTTGGTGTCCTTACACCATTGTTGTTGCCGTGCCCTATCTACGGTCAACTTTTTTTCACCACCAAAATTTCATTTAAGCTTTTCCTCGACATTTTTTTTCTCCATTTCAAGCTTATATTTATCTAAAATTCCTTTAAATTGATAGATCTAAAGTTGAAACCCAAACTTTCAAACCGCTAAAAATCATAATCCCATTGTCCGATCCTTATGATCTTTTAATACGTTGTTCTTTCCTCTTCAATCTTCGTTTTCATTGGTCCAAATCATCCAAAAGTTCTAGGTAGCTAAGAGCCACTTTATGCCACTATTCTCACTTACATCATTCTTTTCCTTTCTCGATTCTCCCCCTCTCTAACTAAGACCTAAAGCTTCATTTAAAAACCTCTCCTCAATCGAAACTCTATGGTATTTTTTTTTTATGGTTTATTACTATTAGGTTCCTCACCAATCTGATGAGGACTATGGTTTATCTGATTGCTGTATTTTTTTTGTGTAACTTTTAGTTTTAGGAAGCAAAAATGGGTATTGAAGGAGTGGTGGTTATTTTTTGTAATAAATGGGTTTCGGTCAGGCTTAAAGATGGTGTTTTTAGATCATTGATGGGTGGTACTAGTGGAGGAGATAATGGTTTAACTAAGTTTGAGGGTGGCTCTGGGTCACAGTTAGAGGCTATGGGGCTATCACTACAAGAAATTATTTATATATAGACGTTTGGTTATACTGACGTCAAATTACATTAGTAAAAGAGATTTATACTGATGATTTTTTAATACCGTCAAAATATATCATACATTTATCAATACTTTATACAACCATTAGTATAGACAAACTTTTTTTGATGATATATAATTATCCGTCAGTATAAGTATGCTATATACCAAAATTTATCTATACTGATAGTTAAATTAGTAAAAAAATCTATACTGATGGGTTTTTGTTACTGTTAGTATAGACAGTACTTATACTAACACTTTGTATAACATCGGTATAGGTAAACTTTTTTGATGGTGTATAAATATCCAACAGTATAAACATATTATATACCGACGGTTATAATAAACATCAGTATAAGCTCTAAAAAAGTATTTATTCTAATTTCTTTTTGAAAAACTATTATTCATAATATTTTCCTCTAATAAAATTTCCAAAAATTATAATTTGTTAAAAAGTATAATTATTAATAAATAAAATTTGTAACTTAATTAATTTTAAATGATGATAAGTTATAAATAAAACTTGTAAGTATTATATTAATTAATAAATTTATAATTAAAATTAGACTAAAATTTTTAAATATGTTAAATATTATATTGGTTGGTTTCAATTAATATTCCAATTTTAATATGGTTTTATAAAATTTTAAAATTATTTTAGATCAAAAGTCAAATTATAAATAATCTACATAATCATATTTATATTTATATAAATATTTTTCTATGTTATTTGTAAAATTTTTTTATAAAATAATATTTTTATTTAAAAGAATGATACGTATGTAAGACAAATCCATTTTTTCTTCCATCTTTAAAACTTGCAACAATGAAAAAAGAAAACATTTCAAGCTTAAGAATAAAAAGTACAATCATAATGTTAGGGAAAGGATATACAAAATGGCATTGGTTGCATCTTAGGTGTTTTTCCTTATTGTATTCATGCTCAGTTATTGGGTTAAGGATATTGAGGATGCCTGCCGCAAGAGAAATGTGTTTAACAGGAGCCTTGATCTCTGGGTGGCCTATAGTTAAATTGCTTCAACTAGTCTGAATGGAAAAACTGCTATGCACATAAACGCCCAAGAGCCTAAAAATTGGACTTTAAAATTTTGAACGTGTA